TTTCAATAGTGTGTTTTAATAGATTTTCATACTTTAAAAAATGTAATTATAGGATTTATTTTTCAAAACTTACATTTCTTTCTCAAATCAAAGACCTTATTTTCCATTTAGTCATATGGTTTTAATACAAATTAGTGATATTTGCCCTTCAAATAACATCTGGTTACAGGTTCCATTTGGAAGAAATGCTGACAGTAAATGTCACAGAATGGTTAGGTCTAGAGTAAGGCAACTATAGAATGAATTCAAGGTATGCCAGTCTTTTCCCTACTGGCAAATCACTGATAAAAGTGTGAGAAATTTGTAATATGGTGGGTAACAACATTAAAAAAATAATTTTAAAATGGCTATGTCCAATTTTCTAGAATTACCTTGAATAGATAGTTTGGAGAAGAAATTCATCATCATGCATGACATATTTTCCCAAAGTGGTAGAAAGCTGGTGAGTTTCACTTGTCGCAGTAAGAAATTCATACACTTATTCAGGGATGAATTAAATATATATGCAGATTCTGATATGTGATTGATGTTGTTCACTTTCACTGGAAATGCTAAATTCAGATTTCTGACCAACATTCTACATGGGTACAACTTTCCTAAAAGTATATAGACTTGGCCCCACACCTCTGTGGGAGGTAGCGGCACAGCCCTCACTCCCCAATTGAGAAAATAGCAAATATTTATTGGATAACATCATATACACAAAAAGTACATATACTAATGGTGTGGGGCGAGGGAAAAGGAAATGCATAGGGCTCTGGAGTGGACAGATTGAATGGCACTCTCAGAAGCACAGCTGCTGCAGCCCATTACTACGATCCCTGCCCTCCCCCTACCACTATTATTCCACCCACCCAGGCTCCTCTTCCCCTTCCCGTTCCACTTCCTTCATCTGCCCTGGAGAACCTCCTTCTTTCTACTCTTCTATCCCACCCAATATGAGTATGTAAGGAAATGCATGCACGTACCCTCTTCACATCCCCCTCATGTCCAAGCGAGCGAAGAAACATATGGACTCATCCTCCCTCCTCAAACTCCCATCCATTCCTCCATGCAAGGGAGTGAGTAAGGGAAGGCACTCACCTCCCTCGCCTCATGCTCCCCTATTTCCCCCCTCACCTTCCCATCCAAATCTGTGTGTGATGGTGTTGCACCCCAGGCCTGGGAACATCTATGACCACAGCATTACACAAGAGTCCAAAATATATGCAAATGGTTTATTGTAGAAACACGTAAAAAGTATAGTAAAAAAAAACCCAGGAATAAAGTAGATGTATAATCCAAAAAGGTTTAGCAATAGGTGATAATCCAACAGGAATCCAAATGTCGCTTACAGATTCAAAGGTAATACAGTCCAGGAATAGACCAAAGTCACAAGAACAGCTTAAGTCCATTAGTAAAATTTGAACAGAAACTCCAAAAACAGGCACATAGAAACTCCCAGAATACTTGAATCCAAAACAAAGGCTTGACTTGAAAGACCAGAGAATTCAGGCCTAGCTTCTCACTTGAATGCTATGCTGCCTGAACTAACTCTTAGGAAAACAACTTGCTAATTAATAGGCAGCCACGAAGTCTTGTCATTTCTCCCAAATTGTCTCCCCACCTTTCCCATGCAGTTTCTCTGCGCTATAATGCTTATTTTCTGCTCTGATCTATAAACGAAGATCTTTGTTGATCTCCGTAGCTCCAAGTGTCTTTTCCTGAGAGCCTTTTGTATCACTTAGCTCTTCACCCAACTCCTTATCTAATGTTGTAGTTTCTGGCTCCTCTGGCTGACCTTGAAGCCCTGTTCTTTCTGAGTCAGATTTCTTACAGAGAGAAACATAATTTCCCTCACTTGAATCTTCATCACTTTGAGCACCAGGAAATCCAACAGGCAATCCCACAATCCTCTCTAAATCATCAGCGAACCCATTAGCCACAGGAACATCAGGCTGATCTACAACAGATGAAATGCATGCATCCTCCCTCCTTATGTGTCCCTGTCCCATCTCCTTCTCCCCAAAGCATCTTAATGTGTGACTTAGTAAATAAAGGAGTGCAAACGTACATTCTCCCTGCTCTGGCTTCCTCATCCCATCACATCCTGCCAGAGTAGATGAGCAAGCAAGGTAACACACGTGTAGCCAGACACATACAGTCCACTAGTTTTATTTCCTCCCAGCACAACTGAACCTAACATAGGGAAGAGACACCCCTAGGTCCCTAACACAACCATAGTTTGACTGACAACACAGTACAAGATAGACGCTGACAAAAATAATAAAAGATGGTGCAGGACAATGAATAATCAGTTCTTTGAAGGTTAAATCCGGAAATCTGGAGGGTTGGCTGTAATGCAAGTATATTTCAAAATACACAGGCATAACATTTTGGATCCTTATTATTTTCAGTTGTTCTGTTGCACCATTTCATCATTACAGATTTAAAGGGAGCAATAATAATAATAAAAATCTTTCCCTCATGTTTTTTTAGTTTTTCCCTGGAAACTAATATATAAGCAATACCTCCTTTGGAAGCTAATCCCAACTTTACTTTCCCCAGGGCTTACTGGGAAGGTGTGCTAGAAATAGGCAAGGGCCAAAAATTGGAGAAGAAATTAATTAAGTTGACTTTGTAGCTATCCTTAGAGGCAACTGGAAATTCACCTTTAAGTGTAATTTTATTTAACATACAATGTACAGTTGAACATGTGTGTATATGCAAATGACACATACACAACGATTTTAGATGCCATTAACTACAGTTCATTTTATATTAATTAGAAGAGACATTCAAAATAAATAGGCAGGGTGTAGAATTATCCCAACCAAACACTGGGAATGAAATTTTGATTATGTGATAACATAGACACAATAAATCAAATCTTTGACCCAGCAAGACAGGAAAATAAAGTCTGAATTATTTGTTGCCCTTTATGCAGCCAAGAACATTAAAAGCTTAAACTTCAGCATATTTTGTAATTAGGAAGTGGAGTCTGGGGAAGAGGTTGATTTAAAGGACAGCAAGGTGCACAATACTATTTTTTAAAAGCTGCAGTTTTAAAATGCACTTTTAAATGCATTTCTCATATTACTTCCTTTAAGTAGCCCCGTGGATTTTTCTGTGATTACTCAACAAAATATATGAGAACTGTGGATATGATCCCTCCAATACAAATGGTTCCTCTGGGATTTTGATTTTATGTGTATAATCCCATAAAGTTGAAGTACATAAATATAAGCCATTTGGCACCCTCTTTTAAACATATTTCCTTGGCATTGTTCTTTTGAAATTCTTAGAGAATGTTTCTAAAAGGTGTGATGTCAGTCAGTTTACATTTCAACTAATTTAAATTGACGGCTAGCACAGACAGCATGAGAACCAGTGTAGCTTAGTGGTTTGAACACCTGACTACAGCTCAGGAAAACTGGATTTGAATTCTCACTTGGCTGTTGGATCCCACTGGGTGACCCTGAGCAAACCACACTCTCAGTCTCAGAGGAAGCCAAAGCCAAACAACTTTTAAACAAATTATGCCAAGTAAAACCCAATGTCCATGCGTGTGCATTGCTTATGCAATGATAGGTTCATTGTAAGGTCCCCATAAATTGGAAATTATTTGACAACTGGCACCTGTTTTCTTTAGATTAAAATGTCACAGGAGGCTTCCCCTCCGGCCTCAAACAACTGTAGGGTAAGTTGTTAAGTGTTCAGTTCCCACAAGTAGTTCTGTACTCCACTACTTTGTAGATTATCCTAGATCAGGAGTGTCAAACTCATTTTCACTTAGAGCTACACCAGTCTTATGGTTGCCTTCAAAGGGCTATTGATTTTTTTCTGTGTCAGAAGCGATGTGGGAAACTGCAAGTTGCTTCTGGCGTGAAAGAATTGGCCTTCTGTAAGGACATTGCCCAGGGGATGCTCAGATGTTTTACCATCCTGTGGGAAGCTTCTCTCATGTTCCTGCATGGGAAGCTGGAGCTGACAGATGGGAGCTCACCCTGTCTCGTGGAATCAAACCACTGACCTTCAAATCAGCAGTTCAGCCAGCACAAGGGTTTAACCCATTGTGCCACTGTGGCTCCTGTTATTGAATTTATGAATGGAGAATCTGTTGGTATAAAGGGCCAACTATAATTTTTGTACATAGTGGTTGGTGCTCTTTAGTTTTTGACCAATTCGGGGGCCTAGATGTTACTGAACAACAGTTCCCATTACATTTGATTATCTGCCATGCAGGCTGGGAATAATGAGAATTGCAACCCAATACAACTAGTGGCTCTGATGTAGGAGAACGTTTTAAAGGACTTTCTCGGTAAGGATACAGAACACGTGAAATGAAGTTCAAAAGAATGGATAAAGAATACTGACAATACAGGATTATAGTAGAGAAGCAGGTTTGTATGCCTAATGGTACAGGTCTGATCCTGGGGTTAACATCCAGCTTTGATCTTTAGGACTGTCATGAAGAGCTTTTGTAAGAACAGTGTATCTAACCAATGTTACAATCTCATTGACTTTGCTGAGTCAACATACAAAAACATCAGAAACTAATCCATATAAATCAATGGTTCCCAACCTTTTTTTGACCAGGGACCATGTGGACCAGGGACCACATGGACCAGGGACCACTTTCCAACATTAATACCAAAAGGGCTACAAATCACATTTTTGTTCAACTTTAGATTTGGTTTGGTTATTTGGGGTGCTGATTCAGAAGATTGCATTGGATAGACCACATCAGCTCTACTTTCTGATACAGAATATATGCCATCCAATAGTCGCCATCTGCTCATCCACAGAAAACCATATTTAATACTAATGTGATCTTTCGTGGATAGTTAACCTCTCCCCTTCTGACACCCCTATTGTCTCAGCACTATCAGAGGGTTTCGCGCGACCAGTCGCTCTCGTTGCCACATAGTTTCGAGGCAACAGTGCAGTAATGGTGAGGCTGTGGACCATATTTTCATTCTTGTGGATCACTGGTGGTCCATGGACCACAGGTTGGCAACCACGGATATAAGCGGACCCTGTATGAAAGTGTAGCAGTGTATCTTTTTCTGTTCAGGGAGCCACCCATGTCATGTGCATTTTTCCAGGATGCTGCCCTGATCTATCAAACTACCCCACAGCAGTCAGCATCATATTTTGTTTGTGGATAAAATTCAGAGTTCACCAGTAATTTAAATAAAAATGTGAGTATCAGAACCTTTATTCATAAACAAGTCTGTTGCACAGCTTATCTGAAGCTTTAAAAAAATCCACAAAGTTATACAGGTACATTGGAACTATTACTCAAAATAATTATTTTGTATTATGAAAATATGTTATGCTCACAGTGAAATACAGTTAGTGATATTTTGGTTTCAGCAGGCAAATATAAAGCTCTTCCAACTGGATTAGATGTTTCTTTCTCATAGATTTTGATGTACTCATTTGTTCTTTAACGACACAAAATGATGATGCTTATAGAGGCATTTGTCTAAGCAAATGAGGTTCAAATAGATCTTTCTGTACATTTTGAGAATTCTTCACGGTTGAATGGCTGCATGGAAAATTGTAAAACAAAGCTTTGAATATTTTAAATAAAATACTTTTGGATATAATAGTAACACTGAACATCATTTTTACCATGTTATTATGGATTTATTTCCTATACTTAACATTTGTGTGTAAAAAGTGATCCATATAGATAGACAGACAGACAGATAGATAGACAGATAGATAGATAGATAGAAGTATTTATCTAATACATATCAATAACTTTTCTTAAGTATGCATTAACTTGTGGAAATATATGAAATCTGCAAGAAAATATACAACCTCTAAAAATTTTCATTCACTGACACCAGACTCCAAAAGTATTGAAAGGTAACACACCTGATTTTTTCTACAACTCTGTTTTCTTCATTGGTTGTCGGATGGAATTCTTTATTGTGAGGAGATCCAGTGAAAACAGGAAAGTTGGGTTTTTCTTTAGGAATTGGGAAGTAGTACACAGGAAAATGGGTATGTTCTGAGTCATTATCATCTGGAGAATTCAAAGATATAAGAAGCAAACTGATTATACAGAAAACTCTCCCAAAGTAGATGGGATGACCTGCAAATTGTGTATTAACTAGCTAAAGAGGAACTTTAACTGTACAAAATTATAGTCAGCATATGAAATCATCAGAAAAGTGATCAACATTACTGACGGTTCACATTTTATGTCAAAGTCCCTAAGAATATTATTCAAACCGCATTAACAGAAAGAGGAGAAAAGATCTTTACTGTTATTGGCTTTTTGAACAGCTAAATTATAGAAAGTCATACAAATTAGTAGGTCATGAAAACTTAACTAAAACTAAAATTTGCAACATTGCACCCGTGGAAGAAGCATAGAATAGGAAATAATAAACTATCCACATTTCTGTTATATTTGTGAACATTTATTTCAAAAACATTTGAATAACATCCTTTTGAAGATGTTTTAGCGAAAGTTGTTAGAGTATTTATTTGTTTCATCTGTTGCTGAATTACTGAAAAACAATTTTTATAGTACACCAAAATACTAAAAAAATCTACACCAATAATCTTCAAGATGGTATGCACCTTGTTAATTTTCTATGAAGATTTTCACTTTCACTAACCCTATAAATTATAATAAAAAATAAAATTTGTTTACCAAAATGTGAAAACGACGATTGTTCATTTGCTGTGCTTTCTGTCTTGCTTTTCTTCCTGGCATCTCTGGATGCTTTCCAATTCATCAGGAATTGTCTTTCTAATTCTTTTATTTCTTTTCCATCAAGAGATTCTGTGGAGAGAATTTTGCAATATCTTAAGTCAATAAAAGGCATTTGCATTTTCCAGTTATTTGCTAAGCATTGCACTGGTATTTTTTAGGAATTTCACCGAGGTGGGTTTTTTCCTCCAGAGGCATTGCTGTTTCAGTGTCAGTGCTGTTACATCTGATTGTTTTCCCAATGTTAGTCTGGTATAGTATTAGAGCTATGCTTAATCTGTTTTATGTCAAGGGTTTTAACTATTTTAATACCATTAATATTTAATTCTATTTTAATGTTTGTATGTCTTTCAGTTTTCAAATTGTATTGTATTGGTTTTATTTTAAGCTGCTTTGAATCTCCTTTTTTGGAGAGCAAAAGAAGGGTATTAATAATAATAATAATAATAATAATAATAATAATAATAATAATGTCTTGCTTCCACAGTACATTGAGTATACAATAAACAGTAGACAGAAAGATGGCTATTGGATGGTAGAGGAAAGGATGGTACATGAGAAAAAACCCAATACAACTAGAACTTCAATTGGAAACTTGTAAACCTGTCCTCAAACAGCTCTTAAAACATATACGGTCCAGCGCAATGAGAACAATGCGAAATTCAATGTAGATGCATTACACCCTAAAGCCAAAACCTCTAGCAATCATTTTAAAAGAAACCAGAGAAATTTAGAATCAGGTGAGCCAATTTACTAATAATATGAATCTGTTTACTGTTCTGTCTTGTGATGCAACATTAATAAGTATTATTTATTCCAGTTACACATTGTCTTAAAGACAGCAATTTATTTTAAAGCAATCATTAGGTTTTTATGACAAGAGAACACTTCACCTCTCTGCTTTAGTGATGCAATCCTTGCTATAGGCATTAATTTTGTTTTGCCCATGCTCTAGGGCAGGGGTCCTCAAACTATGGCCAGAGGGCCAGATACGGCCCTCCAAGGTCATTTGCCCGGCCCTCGCTCAGGGTCAACCTAAGTCTGAAACTACTTGAAAACACACAACAATAACAACAACAATCCTATCTCATCAGCTAAAAGCAGGCCCACACTTCCCCTTGAAATACTAATAAGTTTATATTTGTTAAAATTGTTCTTCATTTTAATTATTGTATTGTTGTTAAGTGTTTTTTGCACTACAAATAAGATATGTGCAGTGTGCATAGGAATTCATTCATGTTTTTTTCAAATTATAATCTGGCTCTCCAACAGTTTGAGGGACTGTGACCTGGCCTTCTGTTTAAAAAGTTTGAGGACCCCTGCTCTAGGGAATCAAGGGGGAGAAAGTGACAATGCAAGCACCTTGGCCTCTATTACAGATTGATGGAGGAGTCCTGTCAGCAGAATTTTGCATTCACAGATGACTACATATGAAAGTTTCAAGATTTTTCCCCAGTATGAACTTGCCTACAAGTGGCCAACTTCTGGTCAAAGGACATTGTCATTTAGCATAATGCCAAGTTATTTTTTTAGAAATGTTGTGCTTTTACATGCATTTTAACTGTACCCGCAACTTGCTTCTGACATGATAAATAAATAAATAAATAAATAAGATTTGTTGTTACAGAATACATTTTTTCTCTAATTAATGCAAGTGATAAATGTGCTGTTACCAGTAAAGGCTTTCTGTAAAACCAATATATTCATTATATATGCATTCCTTGTATATAAAAAGTAGGTATTACTTTACCAAGTGATTTTGACTGCAATATGACCCTGTCCCGGTACTTAGGTTTATGGCAAACAGGATTCCCACTCAGCTCTATTTTGGATAGCTTGGTCCATACACTCAGAACAAATTCCAGGTCCTAAAATACCAGGCAAACAAGCATCAGTACTTTTGTTTAGTCATCCAGAATATTACATTTTGTTTAGTCATCCAGAATATTACATTTATTACATTTATTTACTCATAGTTTTGTTTATTCAATTAAATGTAGGTATTTACACCCTGGATTTTCTTAATATAGGGTGAGGTATAAATATTTTAATAAATGAATACATTTATTTCTTTTTTTAAAGAGCTCTGCTCCTAAATGACATGAACAGGAACTGCAAAACAGTATATATTTTACTGGAACTTTGAGAAATACATAAACAAACTTTCATGAACATACTCAAAATAATTTTGTAGATTTTTGTTGACGACTACTCAGTTGATAAATGATCCAGAACATGTTCACAATAGTGTATGTTTATGTAAGACTGTACTAATCTCACGCTGAAATATGATTACCCTTTGGATACGCTCTAGTTGTTCATTGCCTTCCTGTCTCTAATAAAGTGCTTTCACTTTACACCCTTTCCATAAGCTATACCAGAGGGAATAGACACTTTTTGGGGGCAGTTTCTATTTGATAAATGATCATGTCATTCTATCACTTAGAGGTCTGCTACAAAATACTAAAGAGCAAATTATATTCTAGACATACTGGGGGGTGGTGGCAGAGAAAGCCTCAGATGACATCTGTAGTACTGGTTGTAGCCCTCTTCCCAATTAACGATTGTCATTTAAGAACCTGCATTTGACCAGTATGCTCCAATTTGTATTGGCTATGTCTAGCTCAAGTGCCCTAACTATAGCTGTAGACAGCAATTTATCATCATTTTGACGGTCTGTCATTATCTGTTTTGAGAAATCTATATTTTTAGTCTTGTTCCTGACTGAATTGTGAAGTGAAGGAATTCATCTTTTTGATATCTTGTTGTCATAATCAATAATGGCCAAAGGTTGAATAAATTATCGAGTCAGAGCTGTATCATCAGAACACTGAATGAACTCAAGCAGTTCTGAAATTAACAGGAGTTCTACTATCACTGATATATTAAGTTGACAGTCTTTGCAATTTGAACCTATAGACAATGAGTGAGGAAGATAACTGGCCCCAGAAGTCATTATCCCTTGGGACTGTTTGAGAGACTTGGGTTACATCACTGGGTGAAACCATCCCTATGATGCCCTACCACCTGAAATTATCAAATTCAGTATGCTTTTCTCCATCCACAGAAAGTCATGCAGAAAAGCATTTGCCCATTGCTCATCACCCTTATTGAGGAGGTAAGTAATAGGTGAAGGGGCTTGGCCAACACTCTCCGACTTGTCTTTAGTCTATTTGTGCTTAAATATACAATACTTGGCAGTTTGAATTCGGGGAGCAGGATGAGCTCCTGCTGTTAGCCCCAGCTTCGGCCAACCTAGCAGTTTTAAAACATGCAAATGTGACATCAATAGATACCGCTTCTGCAGGAAGGTAACAGCGCTCCATACAGTTATGCCAGCCACATGACCTTGGAGGTGTCTATGGACAACACTGGCTGTTCGGCTTAGAAGTGGAGATGAGCACCAACCTCCAGAGTCGGACATGACTGGACTTAATGTCAGGGAAAAATCTTTACCTTTACCTATACAATACTATTGGGTGTGTGTGTGCGCGCGCGCGCTTGTGTATGTGTATAAAACTTGATGAATTGCCATTAATTTCATTCTCCGTGAATTTATCAGATTAAAATCACCTGGTGAAAAGCTATGTCAAAAGTCTTTAAATCACTGAAAAGGCATCCTATATTCATGCACATATTAACTTTACATTTCTCTTTCCAAGAAAATTCCTTCAAACATCAAGAAACTGAGTATTGTTTGACTCATTTTCCTTTGCTACTTATCAATCACCATAACGTTTTTTATTACCTTTATATGTTGAATCTGGTTGTCAACAGCTATGAGGTGGGAAATATTCTCCAGAACTGCTAGATCACTCATTTCGTCTATATTATTATTGCAGATATTTAAAACTGATAAAGACTTCTGAAAAGAAACAAATCAAACAATTATCAGGACAAAAAAAATCAAATATTAGCTATTGTAGTATTGTGAAGTTAATTAAAAGCAAGCAAACTGTTTCTAAGAGAAGTTTTGCATAAGTTTGGATATTCTGACCAACTAAGCTATTTCATAATAAAAGAGTGTTAGTGACCTTGAAGAAAAATGACCATGAAAAATGATGAATGAAAGCATAAAGTTTCGGGGAGAAGGGGTTTATTTTTGAAATACAATATGACCCCCTTTCATTTTCCCATGCTCCACAAACACCTCCCCCTCACCCCCTGGCCAGAAGTGTTTATGGGCCTCTCTAGATCCTCCAGCGAGAGCCTATATCATGCTTCTGAAGATAGTAAAATAAAAATATAGTGTTAGCAAATATCTGGGGTTTTTGGTATGTGTCTTTACGGAAGCGGTGCTTGTACAGGATGTGACAAAAATAATCTTTACCTTTAACCAAATAGACAGAGACTGAAACAGATTAATTTGTGTAATGCTACTGATTTGTGTAATTTAAATCGATTCCTTATAAAAGATACAGACACACACATATATATATATATATTGTAATAATGAAATGTGTGGAGATACAACATATTTTATGAAAACCTTTCATTTATATTGCAGAAAATGCACGATTTTATTGCTTATTTGACATAGACAGAGATTTTTTGTTAGGTTTGCATGACACAATAACACACTGTAGCTGACACATTAAAGTGTAGCAACACACTTTTGGAAAACTATAGTGTACAGAACTGAAATTTTAAATATAATTTTTGGACACCCTAATTAACGTTATATTTTGTATGCAAGGCATTAAGTAGGCTGAAAAAAATTCAAACTGAAAATTCAATGGGCTGCTGTGTGTTTTTCGAGCTGTATGATCATGTTCCGGGAGCATTCTTTCCTACAGTGAGTTTTTTGGGCCATACAGCAACCCAGTGATTCCGGCCATGATAGCCTTCATTGAAAATTTAATGTTTGAAAATTAAGTTATTACCAGAATGCAAAGAATCATGCCAAGCAACTCTGTTATATGATCAAAGAGGATTTGACCTGTTTTCAAAACAGAAGCATACAAGAAACAAGGCCACTTGATTTTGAAATTGAGGGAGAGGTAAGCAACAGCCACATCTAACTCTCCTGTAAAGGAGCTATTTCAGTTCCAACCTACATTTTTTTGATCAAAAAAAAAAATCCTCCAACAGCATTAGATGCAACAATATTTTAGTAGTCTCCTTGCCTAAAGGCACCTGTTCCTAGATGATTTCTGAAGGTAATTAGAGTCAGCTCTGGTTGGTACTTAGATGGGAGACTGCCAACAAATATAGGGCACTGGAGGCTATATTCCAAAGAAAGGAAATGCCAGTACACCAAGGCTATACATATTTCTTACTTTCTTGTTTATTTTTCTTAGCATAGATACTATGATGCAGATTTGTTTGTAAATGAAGCTTATTTGTTTTTATATTTTAGGGGGAAAAAGTAACAGAGTGATTATGAGAACCTTATGCAAAACAGTAGACATTTGGGTCTACTATTGACCATGGAAGTTTTATATTTTTAAATAGGTAAATGAAATAGAACTACTGTTCACATCATGTCATATAGAAACAGCTATTTGGGAAACAAAATGAAAGTAACCGTAAACATCCATCATCATGCTCATATTTTTAAAAAAATTGAAACAGTTATTTTCTGTCATTAGAGATCTAAATTGAATATCCTTACTGCCAATGACTGAAGACTTCTTGGGTCAAATAGGAGCTTTTCTCCTAAGGGAAGTTGCTGGCTTTCAACATGCAGTTCCCTCAACTCTTCTAAAGTATCTAAGCCTTCCACTACAGTAATGTAATTGCCACCCAGATACCTGGGAAGAGAAAAATATAGAACAGATCAATTTTTTTGCAACCTGCATAAAAATACAGACCCATTGTTTCTAAAAGTATTAATTTGAGGCACAATTCAACTAAAAGTAAATGCTATAACATGCAGAAATTTCAATGGGGAATGCTTAAGTAACCACTGAAATTCATTGAAATCAATAGATTTGTAAAGTATGGCTTGCTTTCGCTGTTGTATCTATAGTTTAAAACAGGTATGGGCAAACTTTGGCCCTCCAGGTGTTTTGGATGGTAGGCTGTTAGGACTTGTGGGAGATGGAAGTCCAAAACACCTGGAGGGCCCAAGTTTACCCATGCCTGGTATGGAAGATGAGAAAAAAAAATACGACAGAATCTGTGCAATGTATTGTCATTTTTGGTATAAAATATATTTCATACACTTAATTTATTATTGTATTTTTGCACCAATCCACACATAAATAAATCAAAACTGTAAAATCATTTTCACTTACAATTTTTCCAGTTTGCTTAATGATGCTAAATTTTCAATCCGTGTAATACAATTGTTCTGCAGATATAAATGTCTTAGGTTTGAGGCAAAGTCCAAATTATGTATTTCTTTGATTTGGTTGTCATATAAATAAAGAACATTAATGTTTTTACATAAAGAGAGGTCATCCTACGAGAAAGAATTAAAATGTGTTCAGTTTAGAGCAGTGGACTGAATAATATTCAGATTTTTCCAGATACAGACTACAGTATGGACAGTTACGTTTCTATAAAACATTTACGGTACATTCTTCTTCTTTTTATTAGATTCAAATTAGCTTACAGTAAAACAAATGTAATCCAATTCAAAACCTAAAAAAATACAGAAATTAAAATAGAATTCAATCTTAATGGTATTAAAAATAAAGTTAATATCCTTAAAACTGATTTAAAACGTTTCCAAAGATAAAACCACAGCTCATCCTTGAAATGATCTTAGAAATCCCCCTTCTTTAAAAGTCTATCTGAATAAAAAGGATAGCATGAATGGGTCCATCCTGGCTTTCCTGGGCAGAGAATGCTTCTGGAACATAGCCATACAGCCCGGAAAACTCACAGCAATCCAGTGATTCCGGCCATGAAAGCCTTCGACAACACATTGAATACTACCAATTTACAAATACATTTCAAGTTAATGAATGTAATAGTAAATAATAATAATAATAATAATAATAATAATAATAAAACTTTATTTATACACCACCACCATCTCCCCAAGGGGACTCAGGGCGGCTTACATGAGAACAAGCCAAACAGCACATCAGTAAAACAGCAAAGCAATAAGCAAATAAAACAATACAATTAATATAACTCACATATAGACAATAACACATAATTTTTTTAAAAAAAATAGTATGAAGCATAAATTGCTTTCTTGTGCTTTTGCGAACAGCAAGGAGCCACATTAAATATCAATGAGATTTTCAAAGAAGGTTGCCTTATCAAGACAATGAGAACATCCTTACAATTATATCTATATTTTTGTTAGCTAGCTTGAGGTGAGTTATTTTTCTCAGGTGCTGGGCCAAGGACTCGTCACGGCGGTTCTTCTGGCTGAGGCTTTTGACAATTAATTCCAATGTTAGCCGAACCATATTTTGTATGAAATTATATTTGCTGGTCTGAGGATTGGATAGCCACGTCTTCCTTTCTCGTCAAACAGCGCCCTAGAACAAAAACAAAGTTACACAATATTTTATTATAGTATCATATAGTGTCATTAMATTATTTTSTAGTTCCCATTTCCAGCACTCTCAGGCATGCGCCAAGTTGGGCCTTGCAGGTGTTTTGGACTCCAACTCCCACCATTCCTCACAGCCTCAGGCCCCTTCCTGAGGCTGTGAGGAATGGTGGGAGTTGGAGTCCTAAACACCTGCAAGGCCCAACTTGGGCCACACCTGTGATAGACCTTGCTGAGACGCATAGTCTTTACTCCATGAAGTCAGAGGGCCTCCATCGCCTCCATGACAAACTCCGCACGCGTTGCCATGGCGACGGGAAGACGCTATGCGTTTCCGCCAATCAAAATGCTTCCATGAAAGGCGCGAGGCGGGGGAGGGGGGGAAGGAGGAGGAATACAAATAAGCGGTCTTCCCTTCACTATATTGTGCTAGGAGAGGAGGCTGTGAGCGCATGCGCACTTGTGCTTCTTATCTTTGCCTAGTTAAGGAGGAAAGAGAGAAGGAGGCAGGCAATAAAAGTTTGCTGGTTGTATGCAGTGGGAGCACTGCTGAGGTCCTGCTTTAAAAAAATAATAAGTTGTTGGTGTCTAATCCCAAATACGTTGTTGGTATTAAGATAATTATAATATAATATTAATAATACTTTTTTTTTCATGTCAGGAGCAACTTGAGAAACTGCAAGTCGCTTCTGGAGTGAGAGAATTGGCCATCTTCTGCAAGGATGTTGCCCAGGGGATGCCCAGATGTTTTGATGTTTTACCATCCTTGTAGATTCTAAGATCTACAGAGACACTCGCTGGAACACCTCAGCAAGCGAGAGTCCAAAAGTAGCAGGCTCAAACCCAGAATCTCAATCAATGGCTGATACCAAATGAGAGACTCCCCGCTGGGCACACAGAAGACTGGGCAACTTGGAAGGCGCTGAACAGACTGCGCTCTGGCACCACGAGATGCAGAGCCAACCTTAAGAAATGGGACTACAAAGTGGAATCCACGACATGTGAGTGCGGAGAAGAGCAAACCACAGACCACCTTCTGCAATGCAACCTGAGCCCTGCCACATGCACAATGGAGGACCTCTTTGCGGCAACACCAGAGGCACTCCAAGTGGCCAGATACTGGTCAAAGGACATTTAATCAACTACCAAGCTTGCAAACTTTGTGTTTTGTTTGTCTGTTTGTTTGTTTAAAAAATGCAATGCCACTGTTTGGTCTGCCCCTGACACGATAAATAAATACCATCCTTGTGGGAGGCTTCTCTCATGTCCCCACATGGGGAGCTGGAGCTGACAGAGGGAGCTCACTTGTGCTCTCCCTGGATTCGAACCTGCGACCTATCAGTCTTCAGTCCTGCCAGCATAAGGGTTTAACCCATTGTGCCACCGGGGGCTCCTTGGTATAGGACAATAATACTGCAATTATATTATACTATACCAGGGGTCCTCAAACTAAGGTCCGGGGGCGGATACGGCCCTCCAGGGTCATTTACCTGGCCCTCGTTCAGGGTCAATCTAAGTCTGAAATGACTTGAAAGCACACAACAACAATCCTATCTCATTAGCCAAAAGCAGGCCCACACTTCCCACTGAAATACTAATAAGTTTATATTTGTTTAAAATGTTCTTCATTTTAATTATTGTATTGTTTTTAAGGGGTTTTTTTTTGCACTACAAATAAAGTATGTGCAGTGTGCATAGGAATTCATGATTTTTTCAAATTATAATCTGGCCCTCCAACAGTTTGAGGGACTGTGACCTGGCCCTCTGTTTTAAAAGTATGAGGACCCCTGGATTATATTATAATAATGATAATGTCCTCCCAACCCTGCTATATGCCTGCGAGACGTGAACACTCTACAGACGTCACATGAACGTGTATATGTTGTGCTCCACCCTGAGTCCCCTGCGGGGTGAGAAGGGTGAAATAGAAATGTTATTAATAAATAAATAAATAAATAAATGTCCCTGCATGGGGAGCTGGAGCTGACAGAAGGAGCTCATCCTCACACTCCCCGGATTCGAAACTGCAACCTGTCGGTCTTCAAGTCCTGCCGGCACAAGGGTTTAACCCACTGTGCCACTGGGGCTCAATACTTTAACCGGGGCTGGCATGCTGCACTATCTATACTACAAACTATTCACCCAACATTTTGCCCTACCTGCATGCTTGAATATGACGTTGTAGGCTTTAGTATCCTATGAAGTTAGTTATTTTTGTTCTTCTTAGTATATGGCTGGATGGAATTTAAATCCTAAGTCTTCCAAGTTCCGGAATTTCAACTGATCAAATGACAGATACAATACAAATGACCGATAATGCCACAACATTACTTTATTTCTGTATTTCAATTTACAATCCAAATTGACTTTCCCCTAAAGTTATTTTTTGTTCTGGGAATTCTATATCTTTTAAAAATAGGTTTATATACTGTACTTAAACTTCATTTTGGACTTAGCTTGCCCCCAAACTTTGGATCTGCGCCTAGCTGCAGATTTTGCAGGTGTCCAACGTTGTATCTGTTACTAATTCGGTTAAAAAGAAATTATGAAAAGTTTTAAGAGAAAATATTTGCTCATAAAGATTTGAAACAGGATCCTTACCTAGTGGCAAGGAACATGTGCCAATTGTCTTATGTATTTTCATTCCAATAGAAAAAATATATAGCAGCCATCCTATTGGATACTCCCAGCTGGAGTAAATCCACTTAATCAATTGTTGAATGGAAAGTCAACACATAGCTAAATCCCATTAATTCAATGGGTCTACACTAGTCAGAACTAATAACAGGATATAGGCCTTTACGCTTGAAAATAATAATAATAAAAACTTATATCCAGTTTATTCTATGTGGATCCTAATCCATATAGAATTATTCAGATATAGTCAATATTGGGTTGCTGTGAGTTTTCTGGGCTGTATGGCCATGTTCGAGAAGCATTCTCTCCTGACGTTTCACCCCTCAACCACTGAGGATGCCTGCCATAGATGTGGATGAAACATCAGGAGAGAATGCTTCTAGAACATAGCCATACAGTCTGGAAAACTCACAGCAACTCAGTGATTCTGGCCATGAAAGCCTCCAAAAACATAGTCAATATTAATACTTGTCCTTCTTGTTATGAAGCATGGCTTGTTCATGTCTTCTGCAAAGGGCCCACTAAACCTTTTGATTATGGCAATCTGAGGAGCTAATGGATGGCTGGATCTAGTTACCATATTTATTTTCCAGAATGCTTTTAAAATGGCACATGTCTGGAATACTGTTAACAATTAAAATAATGTATAAAGTCAGCTACTTAGCATGCTTAAAGCACTGCCACCTTTTGCTGCCAGGTTTTTGGTTTTGTGTGTGTGTGTGTGTGTGTGTGTGTGTGTGTATCAGGAGTGATGTGAGAAACTGCAAGTCACTTCTGGTGTGAAAGAATTGGCCCTCTGCAAGGACGTTGCCAAGAGGACGCCCGGATGTTTTGATGTTTTACCATCCTTGTGGGAGGCTTCCCTCATGTCCCCGCATGAGGAGCTGAAGCTGATAGAGGGAGCTCATCCGCGCTCTCCCCAGATTCGAACTTGCGACCTGTCGGTCTTCAGTCCTGCCGGCACAAGGGCTTAGCTAGGCGAATCTGGGGCCCTCAAGGGAACTGTACTATTGGAATGTTTCCCATGTTTCAAATGTTGTATAGCTTTGTACTGACTGACTGTAGTAAGGTATACTACAAATTGTGGGAATACAGCTTTAGATCACAAAGGAGAGGAAGTGCATGAACCCTTCAAGAGGAATATATATATATATATATATATATATATATATATATATATTGTTTTCGAAACTAATTTTTACCAAAACTTCTTTTCAGCTCCTATGTAATCTATCTATCATTTCCTGTGTAAATTTTTCTGTTTATTTTAGACCCAGTTACCTTAGGGCTTGTGCATAACAGCAACTGCGTTGCTATTAAAAAGGAAATTAATCTATATGCCTGCTTACAGTCTTTTATAATTACAACCATCTGCATTTTTTCTAGTTGTTGAAAGCAACGCTCATTCATCTGATAAATCATTTGAGTTGGGATTTAAACAGATATAGTTTTATGTGTTGTTGAAGGCTTTCGTGGTCGGAATCACTGGGTTGCTGTGAGTTTTCTGGGCTACATGGCAATGTTCCAGAAGCATTCCCTCTTGACATTTCGCCTACATCTATGGCAAGCATCAGAGGTTGTGAGGTCTGTTGGAAACTAGGAAAAAGGGGTTTATATATCTGTGGAATGTCCAGGGTGGGAGAAAGAACTCTTGTCTCTTGGAGGTAGGTGCGAATGTTGCAATGGATCACTTGGATTAGCATTGAATAGCCTTGCAGCTTCAAGGTCTGGCTACTTCCTGCTTGGGGGAATCCTTTGTTGGGATTTATTATATATCTTTGTTATATGTCTGGACATTCCACATCTATATAAACCCCACTTATCTAGTTTCCAACAGACCTCACAACCTCTGAGGATGGGCAAAATGCCAGAAGAGAATGCCTCTGGAACATGGCCATACAGCCCGAAAAACTCACAGCAACCCAGATATAGTTTTACTTGTATGAATTTAAGGCATTTGTCTATATATTTTCAAGACTGCCAACTTTTCAGACGGAGGGCCTGATTCTGGCAGCCCAAGAACAAGCCATTAGAAGCAATGCCATCAAAGCCAGAATTGAAAACTCGGTGACAGATCCCAAATGCAGACTCTCTAAGGAAGCAAATGAAACAATAGATCACATCCTCAGCTGTTGCAAGAAGATCGGGCAGACAAACTACAAGCAGAGGCATAACACCATTGCTCAGATGATTCATTGGAACTTGTGCCACAAATACCATCCGCCTGCGATAAAGAACTGGTGGGATCACAAGCCTGAAAAAGTTACAGAAAATGAACACGGCAAACTACTCTGGGACTTCCGAATTCAGACTGACAGAGTTTTGGAGCACAATACTCCTGACCTCACGTTCATGTTAAAAAACAAAGTATGGATTGTGGATATTGCAATCCCAGGTGACAGCAGGATTGAAGAGAAACAACTAGAAAAGCTGACACAAAACGAGGATTTAAAGATCGAACTGCACAGACTCAGGCACAAGCCAGTAAAGGTGGTCCCAGTGGTGATCAGCACACTGGGTACAGTGCCTAAAGACCTTGGCCTGCACTTAAACACAATCGGTGCTGACAAAATTACCATCTACCAGCTGCAGAAGGCTACCTTACTGGGATCTGCACGCATTATTCACCGATACATCACACAGTCCTAGACACTTGGGAAGTGTCTGACGTGT